CAGGCTGTGATTGATTCATGCATGTCCGCGGACTGGACAACTCGCGAGGCTAGAGCTGGAATACCAAAGCCACAGGCCACCGCTGGAGGCCTGCAGCTATCACTTGACCTCAGCTCAGCCTTCGACCACATGGAATGGATACACATAGCCACTGCACTTGATGACGCATCTGTACCCCCTGAACTCCAAGCCCACGTTTTGGAATGGTATCGAGATATCAAGTATGTCCTTACGGTGCAAGGCCAGACTGTCGATATCTCTGCTAGTCGAGGCCTGAAACAAGGTTGTCTTATTGCTCCGCTCATATGGTCTCTTGTCACCGGTCGCTTCCTCTATGAGCTTGCTCTCTATGCAGATCCTCTGTGGGTGACAACCGATGTTACAACATACGCTGATGACTTCCACGCCGAGCTCTGTCGGCTTGAAGTACGCCTAGGTCAGCTTCTTGATATCCTCTGCGTTGCCGGCCTCACGGTGAATGCTCAAAAATCAGCGGTCCTCTTCCTCTTCCGGGGCACCTTTGCCTCCAAATGGCTTAAGCAGCACCTGCGAACCACACCTGACGGGCAAGTCATGCGTCTACGTACCCCGACAGGCCGGCTGTTTGAGTTTCCAGTTGTGGAGGTTCACACCTATTTAGGGGTCCGGATAAGCTATAAGAACCCACGACTTGCCACCCTGCAGCATCGTGTTCAGCTTGTACAAGCCGAATGGTCCAGACTTCGGAAAGTGGTGTGCTCCAAAAGAGGCCTCTTCCTTAAGGACCGAATTAACATTTGGCGAGCAAGCATACCACCCATGCTCACCTACGGACTGGCTGCCACGGGTCTACCAGCAGGTGGTCTCAGCCAACTTCGCACTCTGTATCTTCGACAGCTCCGTGCCATCCTCAGATCCCCGGCGCATCTCCATCGTGTCAGCAACGAGGAAATCCTTCGTAAGGCCGGTGTGCCTGATATCGCTGAGATTGTTGAGAGAGACCTGGCTCGCTTGCAGGCCAATCTTCAGCAACTGCAAGTGGAAGATTCCTCTCTCCTTGCACCCCAAGTGCTGCGCTTTGCTAAAGGCCTTCAGCTCTCACTAACTTCGCAACCGCCCCCGCGCGACCACGCGCCAGGTACAAGAGAGTGTGAACCAGAGGCCATTCTGGAATGCCGCTACTGTGGAGAGACCTTCTCCACCTACCACCTTCGGAGAGCTCATGAGGCCAGGAAACACCAGGCCCGCACACCCAAGCAGGCAGTGCACACGTTTGACCGCTTCAAGCACAGCATAGACGGAATGCCTACATGTAGTCTGTGCAAATACCCGTTCAGGAAGTGGAGCAACCTCCGAAACCACATTGCCAAAGGCCAGTGTCCCTTCCTCTGCTCCCACCAAATAGGGACCGATACCACCGGACCTCAAATGGACTCAACCGCTCGGAGTGGTACGGACCTCGGCTCTGGACCGGTAACCCATCCACCCCCACCTGATACTGCTGCTACCGTTCCCGAGACCCCCGTGCTGCCCCTGATCCTGAGGCCGCACATCGTGACCATCCTGCGCACGCAGCACTGGCATGCTTTACTTCAACTACCCGAGTTGCAGCTTGAGCTCACTCACCACTGCCCCTTGTGTCGACAATGGTGTGTGGATACCGCAGCAGTGAAGCGCCACATGACAATACAACATGCGGAGTGGACCGAGAAGTTTCCCAAGGTTGTTGAGCTCCTTAAACCCTTCCGTCGCACCATAGTCTTCCCATGTAGATACTGTAAACAGTCGCAGGTTAATCGGCACACACACTGGCGATCCTGCATTGTTCTTCAAGTTAGCTGCTTTCTACAGCTAACTCACAGCAGTAGACATGGAGGAAGCCCTGGAGATGACCGCACAGGAGAGAATCTTCTTCGGGGGAGTCTGTCCATCGCTCCAGTCCAAGAGGGAACGGGAGGAAGGCCCCTCGGAGAAACGACCACGGACTGCAGACGCTCTGGCCTCCTTTCAGTCGTCGGCGGCTGCGCAAATGCCACAGGCACCGAAGGGCAAAGGGAAAGGCAAGAACAAGGGCAAAGCAGCTGCAAAGGGTCAATGGGGAGGCTGGAATCGACAGTCAACCACCTGGGGCCAGGACCACTGGCCCGCGGGACAGGGAGCGTGGAGCACACCATGGACTTCGGAGTACGGTCTGCCGGACATGGTCCAAAAGCTCACATCCTTGGCGATCAAACACGAATATGCCATCAACAGCATGATGCAGGACCACACGTTATACCTATTCGTGAAGCCAGGGGACGAGGGGCTGCTTCCGATTCTGTTTGCCACATCGGAGAAATGGAATGCTACCCAGCAGACGGATCCGTCCCAGATCACGGAACCGCTGCGCCTGGTCATGATGAAGGCGTTCCTTATCGAGCTGGGGCAAAGGTTGAAGGCCACGAAAGATCAACCGGAATCCATGCAGAAAGCCAAGGAACTGGGCTGGCTGACGGAACAAGGCCAGTGGAAGACTCTGGTCTGGGACCCGACGGCACAGGATCTCCGCGAGAAACAGGGAGGAAAGCTACACGTGACGGACGACTTGATCGGCCAATCAGTGGAGCTTCGCAAACTCATCACGGACGAGACTCTGTTTCGGTTTCAGTCACTTCGGGGACTCAGCCGGGCTCCGCAGACGGCATGGGTCCAGCTAGCGATCGAAATCAGTGTCCGGGATATGGGGAATCGCGTATGGGAAATCCTTCATTCCTGGATAGGCTGCGCAGCTTTGCACACCATGGGATGCCGTCTTCGCAGGGAACGCGGAGGCCTGTCCCAACAGGCCAGAACACTTCGCGGGTGGTGACGAGGCCTGGACGTGCTTCGCTTGCACATAATTCCCATAATCCCTCTAATGCCGCCGCCCCGACCCCACCCTATAACCTGTCCAGCTGGCATGTTCGTGATGCTATTCCAGGCCTGCTTCAGATCCTACAATGCCTTCTATGGCCGCTCTGGTGCGACTCTACCAGGTCTCAGCAAGTGCATGGGTTGCTTAAGCACCTTTGGCATCGCATTCGCACCACGCCTGACACACCGATCTCCCTAAAAGGTGACCTCCTTTGGTCTGCTGTTGCTGGGGGAATACCATCCACGGTCCAGGCCCCATACTTGCGTGCACAACTCCAATACCTGCTACAACACCTTGCCCCTGGTGATACGCCAGGTCCGTGGGAATGGTGTACAACAGGGGACGCTGCTACACCTGCTTCCGAGCAGGCCGACCTGACGATTCCCATGCCAATAAATCTGCCATTGCAGCCTGCTCCTACCGCAGGTGGCCTATGGGGATGGGGTGACTCTGCCTTCAGGCCAAGACTTCGCACTGCACCATCCACCTTGTATATGTACGTGCATGATCATTCTACAGGCCGCTCACCGGCCGCTGGACCACATATTTCATGCACGTGGCTGGCTGCTGCTGAGGAGGCCTATCAGCTCACCATCGAGCCTGATGCCAGACCTCCTTACCCATGCCTGTATGAGGTACGATCCATCGTCTTGCATCGGACTTCCGGGGACCCTCACAGCTACCACGCAGTGCATCGAAAACTGTGCGAAGATGTGCTGACACCCTTTGCACCAGCACTGACTGCAGCTGACCTGTGTGATATGCAGCCATGCATCTTCGTACTGCGACGACGCTCTGGCCAGGTACCCTCTGGCTGATTGACTGTGGCGACTCCATTAGTTAACGTTTTCCAGCATGTGCAATCGACACTTGCTGTAGTTGCATCTGGCAGTTGCTGCGGCTCATGAGCACAGCATCGAGCTCCTTGAGAGCTCCGGCATAAGACCGTGCTTCTCGCTAGGTGGACTTGATCCGCTGCGTGGGGAATGAAATGCTACTACGACTACGACTACGACTACGACTACGACTACGACTACTACTACTACTACTACTACTACTACTACTACTACTACTACTACTACTACTATTACTGGTACTGCTACTACTTCTCATCGTCACTGTCATCATCATCAAGCTCATCGTCACTTAATCGTCATCATCATCATCATCATCAAACTCATCAAAATCATCATCATCCTCATCTTCATCTATCAAAAACTGCAAGTAAGATAACAACACCCCCTAATTATAAAAACGCATTTGGAGTTCTTATTGGGGGGGCATCCTGTTTAATCGAGGGTGGCAAGCTAAAAATGAAAAGGGTGCTAAATACTTTGAGGGATTAGACCCTCTCTAATCAGGGGATAATGTTTAAGAGTTATTCAGGGAACACAAGAGAAGGGTTGGGGAGTGTGGGAGTCCCGTCTACTCAAGGGTGGTAAGCTAAAAATCAAATAGTGGTGGCTTAGTACTTTGAGGGATTAGACCCTCTCTAATCAGGGGGGTAATCTGTAAGAATTATTGAGGGTTCAGAAGAAGGGTTGGGGAGCGTGGGGGTCCTGTCTAATCGGGGGTATGGAGCTTTATTTGGGGTTCAATTGAAAGTCAATGAAGTTATGCGTCTGGATGGAACGAGCCCATCTAATCGGGGGGGTTGTTTTTGAATTTTTTCCTCTTTATTTGGGGTTTAATTAAAGCACAAACAAATCTGACCCCAACACCCGGACGGTGCCCGTTTAATCCGGGGAATCTGTTAATCAGGTTCGTACATTACACCCCCTACATTGTAAGGCACGTGTGACCCCGTGTCTCCTGCACACATTGCACTGAAACTTATCCGACAGCCTCAGAGGCTTCCGGAGTCAAGTTTGAACACAAACTGAAATTGAGCGATGCAATAGGCTGGCTATGTGTCGCGGCATTCGAAACGTAGGTGGAGGCCTGCTAAAGAATTTGAGCCATCTGGTGCTGGTGCGCTCACGCACGCTTGATAATTACTCGGTCTTCCCTCTGCCTAATCCGTCTTTTCTTCTTCATCCTCACAGGCTCTAGATTAGTCCTGCGTTTTTTCCTACTGACATTTCTTCTTTCCCCCCCAGCCCCAGACACAGGACGATCTGCGGTCGACCTGCACAGGAACTTGAAGCGAGCAGTAGCCCTCCGTGGAGGCGCAGTGACCCGGCAAGCAAAGGCAGGTGGAGAGGTTATGACCTCAAGTGGTGACGAGGCCATCAATATCATGAAATGTCGGTACAGTTGTCAAGAAGATCCGACAGCTGCATACAGCCAAGGAACAGTAGGCCGGCCCTCGAGATGCGCCGCAAAATCCAAATTCCAAGGCGCAGCTTTTTCCAGTTTGCCGATTGCACGAAGTGTCATCCTGTCAGATCCGAAACAGGAAGAACGGGCCATTGTACTGGTTGCGGTCGTGCCTGAGACTCGCAGCCGCAGCAGTTCTTCTCAGGCCAGTTGTGCAGTCGTCCCCTGCAGAAAAGGAGCCAGTGCACTTCCTTGTCCAGTGGTATCGCAACAGCTCGTTTGGCTCACTATCCTCTCTCTGGCACAACTGGTGGCCTTGCAGACTGTCGGATCTCCCTCACGACGCCGTTCAGCTTCCCGCAAAGGCCCTGCTGCCGGTAGTACTCACAAGTCCAACCTGGAACACGCCACGCAACTGAAAAGGCGGGACCGCGCATTAGAGAGCTCTGCCTGAGGTTGATGGCCAGCTGGCATTGATAGTAGGTCTGCATAGTGCAGGATCCTGGCAGAGATCGTGCCCAGACACACGCAGACAGTGGCATAGACGTAGAACTATTTCGAAGGAGCTCTCAACGTGATGGCTGTCCTTGCCACCAGGCAGCCACGCGCAGCCTGACCACCCGTTCGACCAGCCAGGTGTATCTCGGCCTCGGCGCTGCGCTTGAACGTCCCCCCCAGAATGTAAACAGTGTTTTAAGCGTTTTTTTTTCCTTTCTGCGCCAATCACTGAATGTACCGATGGTGATGTACGTATCAGCGCGATGAGCCCAGGAGGAACAAAATGCATAGCTAGAGCTGAGCTCTGCAGTAGGCACCAGTGTGATAAGCATATGGGGTATAGGCTCCAACGCTTGGGAACACGAGCTGGGATGCTCAGCAGGCACGGCATTGCAGATGTGGTGTTGTTCCTCCTGGTAGAGCCCTGAAGCCACAAGGGCCAGGTGTGCACGGCGTTCCGTGGTGCCAGTGGCCGCTGCCGGTAAAGTCAGCAGGGGGTGTGCTTCATCTGTGAGCCGCACCGGAATGAAGCCAACTGTGGGTCGGAACGGATGGAATGGCCCTGCTCCGCAAAAATGAACAGATCATGTGTGTGTCTGTCTGTGTGTGTGGGTGTGAAGGCGTCTCTCTCTCTGTGTGCATGTACTGTCCTCCTAATTGCTGGCCACGTCGCATGTCAAAGGGGGTCAGAGGGCTTAGCATACAGCTCGGGCCAGCGAAGTTGTGTATGATGCAGCAAGGTAATGTACCTTGGGCGTCGGCGCACGCACCTGGGACGTCAACGCCGCTCCGGTACGTCTGGCGGGGGGATGGACCCCATCCACACCAAAGCGAAACCTGCACTCTTTCTGCATCGTCTTCCTCATCATCATCTCCCATGTGCAGCAATCTGTCAGGAATTGTCAGGAAACAGTGAAGCCATGTTTGTAGGCCAGTCAGTGACATGATGGTCAACATGTGCAGTTCAGCAAGCCTGAGGTGACGGTGATCAAAGAGCAGACATCACCACGGCTTTCCGTCACGGCGTCTTGGCCCTCGTTGGGGGACTGTTCAGTCTAGCTTGAGTGCTGAAGGCCACGCTCAGTGTATCAGTGTATCTGTTGCATCGCTCTGAGTCGGGCTCTGACCGAAGTACAATGGCAACGGTAGAGCGCATATGCAGGGTCTGCCAGGGGTGCAGGCGTGGCAATTGTGCGCTTAGTTCAAAAGCAGCTGCATTGTCTCCACTATTCTCTCGACGTTTTACACTCTTGTGTTCTCCGTGAAGCCGAAGGCATGTTCAGTAGGCAGGAGGGCATGCGCTTGGGAAATGATTCGTCCAGCGCAAGTGAAATCTTGTTGTTGACGACCGGACTACATCTGACAGCAAAGACAACAAATTGCACACCGTCAGCCTGACAACAGACACCAGCCTAGCTTCAACCCGCGCCACTCGCACACCGCCCCGCAACAGCTAAGCCATCAGCTTCAACATGTGCTGTGCAGCCGCAACAGCAGTTTCCTACAGAAGGTGCTTTGCAGCGATAACGGTAGTCCTAACAGCGTAGGCTGTGTGCATGTTCCGCCCAGCATCAGAAGCAGGCACTCTGCAATAGCACGTGCCATGAGATTGCAACTGCAGTCAAAATCGAAGATTCCGTGAAGCAACAACGACAGCATTCGGTACCAACAATTTGTGTCAGACGGCAGACAACCTCTCGGGGAGTCGTGCGTCCTTCTGTGTGTGTGTGTGTGTGTGTGCTGGTCTCGTTCACAGACGAAGAGGGCCACTCCTACTTGCAAGAGTTTGCCACGCTGCACATCATCTGTCGTTGGATGAAAGCGAGCTCGAGGGATGATTGTACACATCGTACAACCCGGGCCAACGAGTATGATGCAGCAAGGCAGGTTGGCCTCTCCTGATCGTCGGTGCAAACAACCGTGAGATCACCCCCATGCTTGTACGTCTCGAGGGGGCAGCTGGACCCAAGCACCACCACCGACGGGAAACTGAGGCTCATGCATCACCATCATCACCATCATCTCCAATGCACAGCAATCTGTCAGGACATGTCAGGACACAATGTAGCCATGTTTGCACGGCGCTTGAGAGGACCCAGTCGTCGGGGCCGCAGGGGGTCGGATGGGCCTGACCGCATCTCCCACTGTGGATCTACTCTGAAGTAGCCTCTGGTGGCGCGTTATGCCGGGACACCGGCGGGCCTGTTCTTGTACTCTCGTTGCAGCGCTTTCGCGTTCTCAGGGCCAGGCAGATGTGCACGCCTTCTTTCCTGGACACCATAAACCACTTGCTACAGGTCCAGCATGCTTGCGAAATCCATCTGCAGAAATCATGTCTTGGCTTCATGTTCCAACCATTCCGTTCCAAGGCTCGACGACGACTCACCCAAAGCCAGCGAGCAGGTCAAGGCCTGAGATCATCACGTCGCGTTGGCATTAAGTTTTGGCATAATTTCTGGCCTCTGCACATGCGGTTGGTCGAGTTTGCGTTGCTCAAGCTGCGGTTCTGTCGAATCACTCTCCTCTTTCTAAACTTACTCGATGCTGCCTTACCCTTCGAAATCCGACAAAATGTGCCTGACTGAATATGCCTAGTGCACCTGGCCTGAAGATCCTCGGCTGCATGTCCTGATTCAATGTAATGAGGTCGAACGTTCAGGAGGGTCCAAAAGCCGGCTCTCCAGCTTCGAGGTCACTGCCTGACCCGATCTCGACCTTTTTCAGGGCCCCTGTACAGCAGTCGCCAATTCAGCGCTAGTCGGCACAGAAATGAAATTAAACAAGCCCCCACCTCAACATCAGATTCCAGACACGTCAATACTCTCTGACACCCGTACCATGCAGTTTCGGCTTCGGGGCTCGGGGTTCACCACACTGAAACACTAATGCTTAGGACCGGTTGGAACATTCCCAAAGTTCCGAAAGACCTAGACTTCAGTAGCTGGGCCAGGCTGGCCCAGCGATGGAAGCAGAGTTGGCCACGTGAACTCTTGACATCGTTTGACTGCAGCCTAGAAGCCCGCAAAAGATGGACTCCCATCCTCGCAAGCAAAAATACACCGGTGTTGAGCCGTGTCACGTGCTTGAGTGCTGTGGCCTCCGCCGCCGTGCAAGCACCATGCCGGCCCCCAGGAGAACATCGACCGCAGCGGAGCAAGACCGGGAATCTCTGACACTGTTTCGAAAAGCCTCCACTATACCAGGAGTATGCACGAACCTCGCGAGCCCACCCTGCCAATGCAAAGCGGATGCTGGCTTACAGTACTGCAAACAAAATGGTCTTGGTAAGGGCATGTTGCATGAACCAGCATCGTGCTGTGCCGCGAGGTGCGAGGAATGAATGTTGCTGTGTCCACGTTTTGCTGCCAGCAACCAAGGACACTTTTATGTCTTCACTGCCGCTATTCACTTCGTGCCCTGTGCAGAAACCTCTTGCACTTTCAGCTGGTGCTGCAGGCAATTCTCTGGCTTGCTGCCGACTAAGTGCACATGTAGGCCTCAGATGTGATCGTCCCAGCCAGCTTCCTCTCTCTTCATCTTCTCCTCCACCTGGCCAGTCGGCAAGGAATGCTTCCAGCCGAGTCTCTGACGGGTCTTGTAGCATGGGGCTTGAGCGGCAACAGCACTACCCTGAGTGGAGCTCTGCAGCGGTCCTTTTTAGGCTCGGGGGCAGCGCTGCTCCCCTAGAGAAGATTCAAAGAACCATCAAATCCATGAACGATCATGTGTGCCTGTGTGCCCCATCTTGAAGTCTGCTAGTCCGACAAGCCGGCATTAAGGCACAGAGAGCGAGCAAGCAAGGCTTCAGATGCCTGCTGCAGTAGCAAGCTCATACGTGCAAGCGACATCCAATCATGGGCCAAAGAGCGACAAGGGCCCCTCAGGGAGCAGTCCAAAGTGTCAACAGCTTCTGCCAAGCGACCTGTGTCCACTAAGTGCATTGCTAAGGCCAGTGTGCGGAGATTGTTCTTCTGGTTCTGCCTGTGTACGCTATCCTCGGGTGCGACTGTCGGAATGCATTGTCCGAGTCTGGACTCCAGAGCCGCGTGTGTTGATGCCTCCTCTTGCTCGCTTCTCAGCACATACATCATGCCGAACATTCGGCCGACAAAGCTACTGGCAAGCCCATTTCGGGGTTCAAAGACCGCTGCGACAAGCTTTGGCAACTCGTCGTGGAAGGACCGCTGCAGCTCCTGCTGTGTCGGAATCTCTTTTATACTGCCCTTTCCAAGCGCCGTCAGCTCGGTTATAACATGACCTGTGAGGTTGCTGGCGAAAGCGTCAGTGCACTCTGCAGGCTGCTCCCTTTTTGCTTCTCTCAGAGCTAGAAGGTTCAGTGTTGAGAGACTGACGCTCTTAGCCTGGGCGTCTGGACTTCTGTCAGAGCTCCAGAGCTGCTGCAGCCGCTCCGGGGCCTGGCCCAAGCTGCGCAACTTGTCGTCAAAGCTGTCACGAACTTGGGATAGTTCCGCCCAGAGAGCCTGCATCTGTGCCGACTGCAGACTGTAGATGTCCTTCTCAGCTTCGTCCTGCACCTCACCCATGGCTTCTCTGATCGCCTGCTTGCGGCGCTCGGTAGCAGTTTGCTGGAAGTCCTGAATGAGTTTCAGCTTCTGCTTCGATTTCTGGCCTGCAAAATCCTGCGAGAGCTTGGCGGTTTTCTGAGCACATTGATTCGCCCATTCTGGCAACAGGAATTGCGAAGCATGTGCAAGTTCTTGCGTGTCCAGCGTATACTGCGCGGCAATCGCTTTAGCCAGGGAGGAGGCCTGGTCCGACAATTCGGAGCTGCTGAGGAACGAACTGGCTGCTGCAGCTGCTGCAGCATAGTCGACTTCGCCACTCTGCTCTGAAAAAGGTGCAAGCTGCATGCCTTTCGCGACCTCAGATATGTCAATCTGCCTCGGGAGGCTCATCTCCTCAGCAAGTGCCATAGCTGCGGATAGCGGGCAACCCGCACTCTCTGCCTCCTTAAAAGCACTCTCACAGGCAAGAGCATCCTGGGCTGCAACTGCACTTTGCAGTGCTTGTCTATTCTGCTCCCAGCCTTGCTCTTTCTGCCTCGCATCCTCGAGCTCTGAGAGTACCGATTCTGCAGCCGAGACTTGCCTGCCATCTATGTTCTCAAAGCTCATCTCCAGGCCGCAACTTCTCAGCTCGGACAACGCATCTTGTGCACGACCAATGGCACTTCCCAAAGCCGGTGCATCCACATCTTCACCCAAAAGCCATTTTTGCCTTTCAGCACGCATTTCGGCTGCTGCTGCTTCATAAAGCATCTCTGCAGCCTGTGCTTTGGACAATTTCGCCAGGTGATCTTTGGCCGCTGACAGGCCATAAGCGCACTGGGCTGTAAGCTCAGCCATTCCGTCCAATGACGATTCCTGCAGGGATTTGAAGGATTCTCCATCGACGAACGCCTGCGCCTGCTGCATAAATTCTGAAAGGCCCTCCGCGTGCGGAGCTACTTCAACATAGTCCGTAGCCTCCACCACCAGTTTGAGATCCGCCAGTAGTTGGGAGCATTGCCCAGCTACGGCTGCAAATTCAGCATGTCGCCGCTCCAAGTCCTTTCGTGCCCTTTCTTGTGCCTCTTGCGATTCCTTGGCTATCGCCGCCTTCTGGATTCGCTCCGCATCTTCCCTCGCGGCCTTTGCTTGCGCAGCTTGCGCCTCTGCTTCTGCTTTGGCCGCTGCTTTGGCCGCTGCAGCAGCTTCGGCTTCCATTTTCGCTCTGCGCAGTTTAGCTTCGTCAGCTTCCTTCATTAATTGAGCTTCTCGGTCCCACCGCTGCTTCAGCACCGCAACTGTGAAAATACCTGCGCACGACGCCACAGCTGCTGACACCCAGGGCAACTTGCTCGAGGACCGAAGTTTCACAACGTTGACTTCGACTCCCGTCTGCTTGTGGTCCGTCTGGCTGAATGCACGCTTGCCAGCTGCAAATACTTGTCCTAGCCGCGTATGCAGTGAGCATAAGCGACCTTAGGTCCCGCAAATCATTCAAGTGTCACGCTGTCACGGAACAACGGAATGCACTGCAAAGCTACTTCTTGGGCTGTCTCGGGTGTTTAGTTGCAAGCTCATCTCCTGATCCGGCCATGCTGCAAGACTCTGAACTGGCATGCCTCATGTCACCCTCTCAATTCCTACAACGGCACGTTCCATTGTAGATCTTTCAGGTTCGAACCTAGCAGAAGGCAAAATACAATTCGCCAAGCCACCTAGCCTCATTGCCTCACCCAGTGGTCTCTGGCAGCGCATTTTTGTGCAAAAACAGCTGTGGCAGAGTCGGATAGAGGTACGTTGGCATGGTCCGACCCCATAATCTGCCCATCTAACAGTAACAAATAATGTGCTGCTTCCTGTCTAAGAGCAGTTCAATGAAGGCACCATACGAGTGTAGGCACTTTTCTCTCCATCCTTTCGGTTGAAGTCCTGGTTGCGCGAGAGACAGCACGTGGAGAGGTGTGACAAACACTGGCCAAACCATCTCTCCTCGAGCTGGGCGAAGTTCTTTCGTTTTGAAATGAGCTTGTGCAATGCTGGCGGGTACTGACCTTGCAAGTGGACAGCTTCTACGATATCTGCTCCGGCAGCCGGCAATTCGACGGATCACTGTCCTGTGAACTTAGGCAAGAGCCGACACAATACCAGCTACCTTCTGCATCACACTTGCGGTTCGCAGGATCTGCCACCCATTTCTGCAGGGCATGAGAATTTTGTATTTCTGGCTGAACTTTCACTTGACCAACTCGTGTTCGGGTGAAATACTCATGCACACGAGGCAAAGCTTTGCAGCCTTGGATTCTTCTGAAACCCCCAGCACCTTGGAAAGGAAGGGCGATCGGAACTGAGCTCTTCGAAATGCGTCAGCTGAGCCCTGCTCTTTGAAGATTCGCATGAGCCCGTGCTTCGTTGTATGCACCTTCGCGACACTGCATAGTGTTGCGACATACTGCTTGGTGAGGTGTTGGATCACAAGAAAAATCGCTGCAACCGTGCTTGCTGCAGTCCCTACTCTGAAGAGCTTGGCTGGAAAACTGCTAATCTTGATCCCACAGCGGGCTCACATTCTGATCTGACTGATCAAATCCCACTTACACAGCTTCGCTGAGTGTCGTAGGGTGCAAGTGCCAAACTCCCCAAGCATAAATAAGTTGCCCGTCCAAAGACTGCTGATAGTTGGATCAGCGCGCGAACCAGCATGTCGCGTCATGTGGCCGCGTGACACCGCGCTTCCATGTGGTACACACACACTGTGCGGAAGTCCGAATGGAGTTGCTAACCGTCGCTGGTTGCGTTGGGCCCACCATCTCGCCCGTGCCATTTGTTGGAGGAATGGAAAGATGCTTCGCAGTTTGGCACGAGTTGCTCTTGCATCGCTACCAGTAGCACCTGCAACATCTGTTTCTTGCGGAAGTCGTCTGGCGCTCTGACTGGGCCTCTTGGAACAACTTGCCGTCCAAGCGGACTCCTTCGTCGATGTTGTGCCTGACGGCCTGTCTGTTGTATTGCGAGTCATGTACTGGGTGCTACGAGCAGTTGAAGCCTTGTAAAGGAAAGATGCCGCCATCATCTCGGTGGGTTGGCCACCAGCATAGAAGCCAAACTTCCTAGCACCGCGACAAGATCCCGTGGACATGCAGGCTGTGGAATCGACAAACAGATAGCAGCTGCGAATGGTTCAACTGATGGTCAACAGAAGCACCTACAGGTTGGATCATCTTCGCCACAAACCTGAATCCGGGTGAATGGCCGGACTTCTCATCACGACTTCCAATGGCTTACAGCAGACAGAGCAACTTAGCTTGCAGCATCTGGGAAAACGGAATTGGCTATGCGTGCCTCAGGCTCATCATCTGGGAAGGGCTGGCATCACAACGCTAACGTCCCTGTGCTCAGCCGTGACGACAGCGTTGGTTGTGTGCTTTTCGGGGCCACAGCCAAGTGGGGCGACTTGCCCATGTCATCGCCTTGGCCACCCGCCCAGACCTTGGTTTCTTGAATTTGGTGCCCGTTGACCCCCCTGGGCCTGACCGCTACTCTTCGGTCTGGCCAGCACGTAGTCTGCAAGGTGCCGCCTCTGGAAAACGCTTCTTGCCACTTGCTGTGCCAATAAGACCAATCAATAAGGATGGTGCATGATGTTGTGAGCCTTCTTTTCCGGGTTCGTCAACGTTCCTTGGTCTCTGGCCACGGGCTTGAGGACTCCAGGGCAGGGGAAGCCAAGGTCTCCAGCGGCCAAGTGTAGCGATGTGTTCGTGATTCCAGGTGTTGCCATCTGCAATAGAGGTTCGGTTTCCTGAGAGCTTAGATGAGCTTCGATCTGTCTGGTAGTGCAGTTACCCCACGTCATCCGATTGGGGCGGGAACCTATGCCGGTGATTTGGTAGCCGTAGTCCCACCATGCCATGACCCGCGCATCCGATGGCGTGTTGGCCTCCAGGCCATCATCACGTTTAGTACTTGGCACACGAACGAGCTGCCAGTGGAACGCGCGCCTTCAACCACTTGTATCCATCAAGGTAGTCTGTAATGAGCCCCTACGGTCGAATTAGCAGGCAACAAACACATTGCAGCATAACTCAGCTGTGACCTGGCGGCTCTTGAAGACGATGGACGGATGCCCCATGTGCTGGCAACACATTGGCAAATTGAGAAATTATGCGAAAGCAGCGGGCGGAGAACAGAGCTCACCAACACGTCAGCGCTGCAGGCGCGATCTCCTCGCACGTCGCAATGAAATTCTTGACCTGAGCAAGGCAGATCTCGCACAAGTCCAACGAGGCTTGTCGTCAAATGTCTTCCATTCGTGCCCCTGCGCGCGGTAAACTGCGAAACTGGTGGTAAGCATGCCTTGCTATAAGCCTTTTGCACGGCATGCATGAGCCGTACTGCTGTGTTGCTCGGAAATGCCATCTGAGAAGCACGCCGGATCACGCATGTTCTGGTAGCCAGCGGCCAAAATCAGTATGGCCACAGTGCATCGAGTCGCCCTGTTCGTCTGATGCTGGTGGCTTACTTGCTTCATTGGCTTATGCATTGCGGGAGATCGACGAGCATCTTCTGCACAGACGTTGGTCGTTTGACCGCAATGCATAGCAACTTGTAGTAGCAGTACGGTTCAATTTCACCTTCATCAAAGTTGCATGATTAAGTTAAATACCTGCAATGTGTCAGCAACCCCGAAGAATAAATTGCGGTCCTGCCTACATGGTCGCGGAAACCGTCGGTGCAAACTCTCGGATGTCTCGTAGAAGTCCGCTACCTACAACTTGGCTCCAGGACTCTGCTGCAAACTTTCAATTTGCAGCCTACCTCCGCGGGCAAGGTAAGTGGCTTCAGATACCGCCAAAGCCAACGATAAATGGATCCCATGCCTCCAGAAGACAGAGAGGGCGAGGCGAGCTTGATATCGTGGTTGGAACACATGTCCCTGAACTCAGACGTTTTATCCTAGCATGAGCTGGCACACCCCAAACAACATATTACATCTTTTTCAAAACGGATGTTTGGGAGGTGTGCTCGGTGTGCAGCTATCGCCAGAAACAAACACTGGTGACTGGCCAATCCTCCTTGTGTGGAAGGCTTGCAGCACGTGATGCGCCTCCTGATCGTACCTGCAACTTGACCTCCGGCTGCAGGGGCCTGGGTCTCGATGGCGCAGGATGCGCAGGTTCGGTTGCACCTCTCTATTTCGCCTTGCAGGCCCTGAGGGGGCCTCGTTCTCTCTCTCTCGCTTGTTTGCTTTTTTGCTAAGCCGCCAACTAAGCATTTGCGCACTTAGGGGTTGGTTGCGCAAAGGCAAAGGGGCACGAGACATTTCTTTGTTTTCTCTTTCTCTCTTTCGCAGGTTGTGTGGGCGGTTGGAGGTCTGCCGGCTTTGGGCGAATCTCGTACTTCGTCTAGGACTGCAAGCAACTTTGAAAGCATCGGTGCTGTTTGTACCACTCATGACTGTATGATACTAGTAGGAACTACAGTAGCGCCCTTGACCCCGACAAGCATGTCTGGCTGGGCTTTCGTGGCGAATAGTTGCACTGGCAGTGCATACCTTCCGCATGCCTCCCCTCACGCACGCCTTCGCAGTGTTGTGCTTCGTGCGTGATGGCCCGGGTCGTAATCCAATGATAGTGCTCCTTCATAGTCATTGCGGGGATTGCCTTTGTGCCCTCTGGAGCCTAGGGGGAGTCCCCCTTGGCGCTGTTGTGCGAAGGAGTTTTGGCATCTCTTTCTTTGTTTTTGCCAGGGCTACGGTGCAGTGGCTAAAATCTCTCTCTGTCTCCCTCTCGCGCACGGTCCATCGGCAGTGCGTGGAGCTGGGCCGCACGCGATGGAGCGCAACACATGTTCAGGAACTGCTGGAGGCACCTGCACGGCCGAGCAGGCACAACAAGACAGAAGTGCTGATGTGACTCCAGTCGTCGAGGCACCACTCCAACACGATGCCGATCGGATATCCTGCGAGCATAGACCTGCAAGTCAATTTCTTCCTAGGGACATGAGGCAAACTCCTCAGCCAAGCTACACGGGTCTCACGTAGGCCAGACTGGGACATGTTCCTTTCCCATGCGCAGTCTCTCAGCACCAGTCTTTGATGGGCCTGTTGCTGCCCCAGAGTGCATGAACTTCAACATTCTTCAGAAAGAAACCTTCCTTCATGGAGATCGCAAGAGTTGTTTCTGCGTCACGGCTATTACCCCACACCATGATTGGCCAGGTTTCGAAACGGAACAATGTGTGCACGTGTGACAATGAAAGCGTGCCGTCCAACAGGGACAGTTGCAATCTTGGTGCCGGATGACCTATGCCTTTCGATCGAAATTCGGCATGAGGGAAAACTCAAGTGTCCAGGCTGCAACGGAGATCACCAGTACGAGAGGTCCAACTTATGGCAAATAGCCCCGAATAGCCATGCTGGCTATTGAGAGGGCTGGAGCATGCAATTGTACTGCGCAGGGAGTTGGCTTACACTTGTATTGCGGTCTCCATTCTGGACTGTTCGCCTGAGCCGAATGTACCAGGGAAACATAAGTTTGGCAGTTGTCTGCAGAAACACCGAATGTGTTCGTGTGGCGTGGATGCTGGCGGCAGGCGCATGGTGCAGACTGCTGTCGTGAGCATGATCAAGATCATAAGCGGGCTCTCGCTTTCACCAGGTGTTCAGTTGTCCCATGATGAAACACAAACAACCACCGAATCTGACTGAAATGTTCGGGCTTGGGTGGTACATGCAGCCTGCGACAGGGCCGTAAACGATGTGTTTTGGCTAGCCCGAGAGAAAAGCGGGAGTAGGCAACACGTGCTTACAACCCAGGCTTCTGTTCTGGCATGGCTTCCTCTCACGCAGACCGGAGTCGGTCGCTTCGATCGCTGGAGTCGAGCTCTGCGATTTCAGAATCCGCACGGCACCGCAAGCAACATGTAAAAGAAATGACTAACATCGGACTGTTGTGCTATCGGCCACCTGGCAGCACTAAGCTTTAAGTTCGCGACACAATTGGCCCACAAATGATCATTAGCCTCGACCTGAACGAGCGTTGGAGGGTAATCGTGTGACAGGTTCATCGACCAAATACTCTTAAACTGACTAGCAACTGTTCCAATCAAGCCGTGCCACATCTTCGCCGAGAAGTGGTAAGCTACTGCAGCATAAAGCACCTAGCCAAGCATGGCACCCGCCGGAGCGTTTTCAATCTTGAGGATGCGCCGGCAAGCCAAGCAACTGGAAAGAGCTTTGCCGGAGTTTGCTGGTGCCAACCTGCATGCTCTGGAGAAGACCGTTCAAGCTGCAGCGTGCATCACTGCACTTCCGGGCTTACGACAGAACAGCAGACCCAGGGCAGCAACCTCGGTCCATGTCCAACTCATGAGTCTCGGGTGACTCGGGTAACGTGTTCGGGCAGGCTTGGACGTGAACATAACGTGCATCTCCCAAGTACTGCCTGAGCTTCCGAAAATGCTCACCATCTGCTCTACCCTACACATCGCTACACTCGAAAAGCATTGTGCTGAGGCCAGGTCGCATAAGCCTGGCTGCTTGTCGCGGAATGCTCAGCGACGCTGTCCACCTGAATTTGATGCACATGGCTGCATCCTTCTGGCTGTGCTGATAGGTAGCGGACTAACGGGTTCCCAGTCTTCTTGTGCTTCAAGAAGAGGCCTCTGATTCTGGCCTCTCTTTCCAAGGTCACAGTCAACATCGTAGTGGTGCTAAGTGGAGCTTGCGAACAGTAGATGCGTCGGTCAGTCTGAGGCATGAGCACCCAATGGCGCAAAGTGGCCCGACCTTCCGCGCACATGTCCGGCTGAAAGTTGCCGTCTAGCCGAGTGTAAGAGCCCTTGGTGCCTGTATAGAGTAAAGCCAACTCCTGCCCCTGCAAGAACGGCAGCTGCAAATACGGCCTCAAGGCGGTGAGCACTGCAACTGCATGGAATGGGGCACGGCAATAGCCCCCAGCTTGGAAGTGGTGCAGGAGCTGAGTCAGTCTAAGGCCATTGCTACACGAAACAAACAGAATTTCCACGGAGAAGCAAGACCTCCAAAAGGAAAAGCTCCAGAAACGTCGCAGGCCAACCTCCGGAGCTTATAGGTCCCTCACCTTTGACACGATGCCGGGCGAAGTCGCACGCTTGTAGCCTTGTCTGGTTTTCCAATGTTTCCAATGGCGAGGTGGTGGAAACATTGGAAACACAAAAGAGTCGGCAATTGAAGCACTAAGACCCACTTGTCGACCGGGAAGTCGCCGAAATGCAGGCGAGCCGAGCACAACCGGAGGTCGCTCGAAATAGCAGGGTCATGCCAGGACAAACAGCTGAGCGTTGATCAACACACTTTTCCTTCTTCTGCAAATGTCCTTCCTGACATTGTGTTTCTTTCGGTGGGGGTTGGGGGGCGGGGCATGATGACGTGCCTATTCACGAGCGACTCCGTACTTGCAATACTGTCGTGATGTCCTAGTCCAACACCAACGATGGCGATGGATTTTTAAGCGCCAGGTCGTTGTTAGGCGATGGTAGGCGGGGGGGCTACTAGTGATAGTAGTAGTAGTCGTCGTCGTCGTCGTCGTCGTAATCGTAGTCGTAGTCGTAGTAGCAGTAGTGGTGGTAGTAGTGGTAGTGGTAGTGGTAGTGGTAGTGGTAGTGGTAGTGGTAGTGGTAGGAGTAGCAGTAGCAGTAGACATAGCAGTAGCAGTAGCAGTAGCAGGAGCAGGAGCAGCAGTAGCAGTAGCAGTAGCAGTAGCAGTAGCAGTAGACATAGCAGTAGCAGTAGCAGTAGCAGTAGCAGTAGCAGTAGCAGTAGCAGGAGCAGTAGCAGTAGCAGTAGCAGTAGCAGTAGCAGTAGCAGCAGCCGTAGTAGTAAGAATGGTAGTAGTAGCAGGAGCAGGACCAGGACCAGGAGTGGTAACAGTAGTGACTTAGTAGTGGTGGTGGTGGTGGTGGTGGTGGTGGTGGTAGTAGTGGTGGTAGAAGTAGTCGTGGTGGTGGTGGTAGTAGGTAGTTGTAGTGGTAATGGTAGTGGGAGTGGTAGCACTAGCACTAGTCACTAGTCGCTGTCATCGTAGTCGCTGTTTCGTAGAGGTAGTGGCAGTGGAAAAGGAGTGGCAGTGGCAGTCGCAGCAGTACCAGGAGTCGTAGTCGTCATGGTCGTAGTCGTAGTCGTCGACGTAGTAGTAGCAGTAGTAGTAGTAGTGGTAGTAGTAGTAGTAGTAGTAGTAGTAGTAGTAGTAGTAGTAGTAGTAGTAGTAGTGGCCGCAGCAGCTGTAGTAGCTGTAGTAGCTGTAGTAGCTGTAGTAGCAGTAGTAGCAGTAGTAGCAGTAGTGTAGCGGTAGCAGTACTAGTACTTACTAGTAACTAGTACTAGTACTATTACTAGCAGCAGGAGATGGGCAGGTAGGCACGGCGCAATAAGCGCGAATATGACGTGAAGCAAAAACGTGGCGTCTGCAACAGAACGATGCAAGTGATCTCCACCCAACTTTCGTCTTCCTCCTTCCCTCCGTCGTGACGAGAACTGGAAGGGTCCAGTCCGTCTTTGTCTCCTCTTTCACCTGCACCAGGACCCGCAAAAGCTTGCGGCACGCGCCGCTGCAGCCGGCCCTTCAGCCGCCCAAATCTTTCGCGCTATGCATTCTGACCGCATTACGGCCTCTCGAGAAAAAACCGTTCTGTGCTCAGCATCGGGGGATGGACAAGCAGATTGCTCGGACAACGACAACGTCACCGCTGTATGGAGGAAGGCATCCCAACAACCACCTTGACCACTATCATACCGGACCCGCGGTGGTACGGTGCATATCTAAAAACCAATGGTTACGGTCCCGCTCGGGCCCCCTTTCGTCCGCATCCTAAATTCCAACCGTCGAAAGTCCTGGCAGTTCCTGAAAACGCTCGAAGTGCCTCAAGTCCTCGCAAGACACTCTCTGAGGCTCTTGCCGCTTCGTCGTCTGCTCCCCAATCCCGTGTACAGGACATCTCCAGGCCGTAGTACACGTCTGTATTCGAGGTGGGACACTGGAGCAGTCACTCAGTAACTTGCATAGTTCGTCGCACCGTTGCCTCCACACCCGTTGCTTTCTTGGGGGATTCAACTCTCTCACATCCAGGGCATGCCAGGGGAGTTTCCACCACACATTGGGTTCTGAATTCATGCAGCTTGTGTAGCGAGGGCGCGCAAACTTATCCGCGTTGAAAGAACTTCTTAAGAGCCCTGGCTGAGTGTCAGACAGTTGGAACACAACGAACACCAGGAGAGATGGCATTCTGAGAAGGCGTCGGCATCACCATGACTTGATAGACTCTGATCGAAAAGTCCACGTAACAGTCCAAGGCAGAGGCTGCTCCATTGCCCGAAGTGGTGCCCAGCCGATGACGGGGATAAGCCTCGAGAGCAAATCGAGTACATGCATTCTTCAATGTTTGCATTTTCCGCAGATTCGTACGACTCCTTGGGTTTAGAGATGTTCAGACCTGGCCTGCACACACATACCCAGTCTGAGCTGGTTGTCTTGGCATCATCTCTCTTCACGCATCGAATTGCGCGCTCTCCATACGCAAAGTTCTTCGGCTGATATGTCTTCAGAGCTTTGAGAAAGCACATCTTGGGTAACTTCAAACTCATCTGCAGGTACATAGCCTTACCAACTGTACGAGATTGTACACGAGAGGACGTTGCAAGAACAAAAGCAGAATTAGCTGAACAAGCTCAACAAGGATCTTAATCCTAGGTTCTCGCCCAGATGTCTTTTATGACATCAATGGAGGTACGTCCAGGTGATCAGCCTGGATATCCTCCCAACGCAAGAGCAGCTTCGTTGGCAGTGGACTCTTGAATGGGCCACTGCCCCCTGCGTTCTGAAAGCAATCAGTCTGTAAAGCATCTTTCAGGAACAGGAACTCCACACACACACACACACACACTCGTGTCGAAGATCGGCCGACATCAGGTCACAAAGCCCTACAGGCAGAACCCATTCCACTATAGGACAACAGGTCCTCCTCTTGTGTCCCGTCGGGGACTGAAAAAACAGGTCTGACACAAGTCGTTCGTCCCAGGTGTAGTGCTTAGCTTGTGTTGCACACTGTGCGTGTGGACCATTGACCCCTTCGATGGTTCACCACGAGCAAGTCCCACTAGCTCAGCCCAACACATAGCACCGCTCGTGCCCACTGCATACCATAAGGTGTACGCCTGCAGCTTCACATGTGGTTCATACGTTCATACGATCTGCAACGAGACTCTCTGGGGCGGCTGCCAAGTACAAGCCAGAATTGTACTGGCCAAGCGCAACAAGCACTGCGGCGTGCAAGCCTGTGCAACAGCAAGATCCCCAGACGAGCTAGTGTAAATGTGCGGCCAAGACACCGATCAGGTTGTTCACAAAGATGTACCCACCCCAGGTAGCCCTGCGGTCTGAGGTGCAGATTCAGCATTGAGTGCCAGGTCTGAGGACAGGACGCAGCCGAGAAGTAGGCCAAACCTGCCACAGCTCTTCACTCTCCACTCTTGCGTGACCTTGTCGCCTGGTTCAGGATTTGGGGGCACATGGCCTCGAACACTCTGAAGGTGGTAAGTGTAACACAGGGCAGCTGGACCGGCAAGCACGCCCCAGGGCCAAGATCTAGGAGTTCTGATCGACCGGCACCATCTTAGCTTGCCGAGTGTCTGCTTCCAGCCAGTGACCCTGCACTCTGACCGCGGACTTCAGCCGACCGGAGAGGACGCTGGAGGCAGGAAATAGCAAGTGTCCGCAGCGGCACGATCAAGCGCCAGCTTCAGCTGATCAGACCATGCAGGAGATCCACTGGACAGCTGTTGTTAAGGATCTCACAACCAGAAGGTTGCGCAGAAGCAAGTGACCTCGCGGGGTCAACTAGGCCTCGCAGACTTTCCAGCAATCTGATCAGATCTTGAGCCCTGAGCCGCCACAGCCTCGTTGTCATACTCTCCGGCACTGGAACGCATCATATGCGCTGGAATGATGGCCATCACCTTTCGGACAGGCAACAAAATTGTAACTGCATGTCTCACCTCTTTCCTGGTACGAGAGCGTACTAGGAAAAGCCAAGGCCTTTCAATCAGGATTTCGGTAAAGTCTTCGACTGGCTTAAGAAGAGGAGGAGGAGGAGGAGGAGGAGGTGCGGCCGTCAACCCACTTCCCCCAAGCATTTCCGAGCGGCTCCGTAGTCGTCATGGCCGCTCTCCGCGAGGGGTTCGAGAGGCCGAGCCGCTAAGGCATCCAAGTTTCAAACACTTTCAAACTATAAAGATGAACGGGTGGTGGATGGGATGACGGACAGACCCCTACAACGGAATTCGAACAGTTTACAGAACTTGCGGAAGATGGCAAAAACCAAGACTCCAAATAGTTTGAAACTGGCAGGTCTGGCGAGGAACGGAACTTGAGAAAAAGACGGCTGCCGCCATCTTTCACAAATCTGCGTGGGTTCTTCGTTTTGGATTCTCTGGTATGTGTTCTTCCGTAGGGCTGTGTGGTTGTCATCTTCCACAAGTTTCGTAGGCTCTTCGCCTTCCATTCCCGATTGTAGGTCATTGCAGGTGTGTTCCTGCAATCCCACTATCCCCCTTTTCACACCGAGTTTGGGGGTCAGGGTCGTCCTGGGACAATTGAAAGAGATCTACAACGGAGAATGGGGGTGAAGAGCTTGCGGCACGAGCCGGGAAGAGATCTACGAAGGCCCTGCAGCAACGAATGGAAGGTTAAGAGCCCGCCAACCTTGCGGAAGAGGGCATTAACCCAGACACGCAATCTCGGCACGAGACCGGGGGTCAAGAATCCTGAAGGAACCAAAAGCCTGCAAAACTTGCCGACAACGGCAATCGGGCAGGCCCCCGAGTACAGCAAGAACCTTGCGAACGTTGGGCGAGAGGGCAACAACCCAGACCCCGAACCCCAATCTCGGTGCAAGACGCTGGGGCTGGGATTTGCAAGAACCCCGCAACGGGAAATGGAAGGCGAAAGGCCTACGGACACTGCGGAGCTTGCAGAAGATGGCAAGAGTAGAGACACCACAGCAAGAACCCTTCACCTGCGGAACTTGCGGAAGATGGCCACAACCCAGAACCCCAATCTAAGCGCGACACTGCGGGGTCTGCGGTTGCAGCAAGAACGCTACAACGGGGAATGAAGGCGAAGACCTATGCAACGTTCGCTTCGCCCAACTCGGACAGCCTCAGTCGATTTACGCTGAGCAAGTTTTGGGGTGTGTCTGTTGTGTGTCAACAACCCGACCCCCAATCTCGGCGCAGACAGGGGGGTCTGGGATCACAGCACGAACTCTGCAGGGAAATGGAAGGCGAAAGAAGGCGAAAGACCTACGATTGCGGAAGATGGCCACAACCCAGAACCCCCATCTCTCGGTGCGAGACGTGGGGCTGGGATTGCGAGAAGAATGGAACGCGAAGTAAAAAGATTTCCTCAGCGCATTGTGCAACAAGGAGGCGGGAGGGATGCACCTGCGCACAGCGGCGTGGATGTGCTAGCCGGGCCAAAAAAAGAAGACAGACCCAAGAACAGCTGAAGCTGATTCCCCCAGTGCTGACGGGTTGTGAGCGGACTTATGGGGTCTTGCCGCAGTGGTCTTTTGCGCCGATGAGCACCCCCTTCGCACCGTATTCCTCATGTCAGGGCGACAGTGCCACTGTCTACCTTCTCTTCTCGCAACATTCACTCGCCCGCTTACTCAGTAGGTCTTTGGGACGGTGTTCACGTCAACCCGTTTGCGCGTGCAGCCCATCCCGTTTGTGCTATCTTTCTGGGCGCATAGTCGACCGGGTTTTGGCAAGCAGGATGGTTGAGGTCGGGATGGAGTCGTGGTGTCAAAAAATCCACAAATTGCCAGAGCCGAGGGCACAGGACGGCCCAAGCCCTAAAAACTTGGCATGCTCAGCTGTGGCTGTTTCGGCAGGAATGTGATGGCGAGAGGGGCCACTGTCTGTTTCAGGCATCCCGTTTACGTCGAAAGCTGAAAAGCTCAAGGATGACATGCAATTAAATCATCTAATTGGCCCTTGTTTCTGAGCCTCTGGCAGGCATGAAGCTAGCATCAGTTGGTAATCGGAAAGTCTCCATCAGCTGAGATGCGAACCATTCCAGCAGCAACTCCAGCTGAACGACTCTCAGAAGCCTGTGTCACAGGGCATGTGGACCTTGCGTTTCAAACAACTTCATCTTCATCGTGCCTCTATGGTCAACAACACGAGGAATAGAGTTGCGAACCCACCTGCGCGGCTATGCGCGGCTTTAGGTTTTCTGACCTGTTATTGTCTGGGCACCGTGCCAAACCAAGCCGGTGTCAACACCTGAAAGAGGACCAAACATGAACCCTGTCTGTCTGCCTCTGGCCTGTATGTGTCAGGATTCTCATATAGCCAAGTGTCACAGACGTCGTTCAGCTTCATCGGCCCGAACTGAGCAACAACTGTGCCAAGTTTACGAGAGGCAGCAGCTGCACAGGAACACAACAACGTCCTCTGAGCCCAGGCTGACATGTGCCCGTGGCCAGGCAAAAACGTTCGCCACCCTGAAAAAGAAAAACTACACACAAGTCATGCCCGTGGCTGAAATCTGCAGGCGGCTAAGAGTTCAGCTCTTCGGGAATGATTGCAGCAACCACAGTGGGAGCTCCACGTCCATCTGCCGTGACAGATGCTGGGCGGAGGCGGGGGGGTTACGGCAATGTGCTTGGTAAATGTGAGGTGCTGCCCTTCAGCATGTGCCTTTGGAGTGGACTTGAGAACCTTAGCCCAATGCCAAAAATGCCCGACAGGGAATGCTGCCGTCCGCAAACATTCATGGCGATTTGAGCGCTGGCGTTCCAGATCCAGATACTTGCAAACCTCGTTCGCGAAACACAGCAGGTCAAGCAACTCTCGCTTACCAAGGTACTACGTCCAAGTTTGCATGGCTGTGTATGTTTTTTTGCCGATCCTGGCTAAGGCAGTTCAACGAACTCACTACTCCGACCCTCCCCCCTATCTCTACGGAGTTCAGACAAATCATCGATGTCATGTTATCCAGAAGATCTAGCAAATCCTTGCGGATGAACTTCATGCGAGCCAGTTGCTGCATCCCGGGATAGGTTGTCGTTCCGATGGGCCGCCCAATAGGATACCAAGACATGTAATCATACCTCGCATGGATGCATTAAAGACTTCCAGCTTTCTATCATTCATACTGGAAGCCAGATGCCTGCTGGCATCTTCGCAGGCATTCTTGTGGCGACAATGGGACTGAGCACAGCGCCATTTCGCGAATTTAAACCAACCATGTTTGGACAAGTATTGCGCGACACGGAAGTTGAACCTGGGCCGGAAATATTAGTTCTGCCGCGCCTGTGCTTCGGATTCCGGGGAGCCGTCCAGGGATCGAATTCGTGGATCAAGTAGCCGTAGTCATGGACGGGCTGCACAGGAAAACACATCAGCCGTGCATGATCGAATGCAAAAAGCGACAATGTGTAAGCTGCAGGCACTCATTCGTATCCGATAGGCCCACAAGCAGAAGTACGCAACCATCAGCAACCTTACAAAAGCCAGAGCGCATGGCCTTCAGTCCCAATTCTCTGCTGCACAATTCGCCCTTTATTTTTTCTCGCATGTTTTCTGTATCGTCACGTGGCATCATACAAGCCTTCTTACAAGGCATCCAGAATAATCGAGACAAGGCCTATTTAGCGTGCAGAAGCCGCCTGCTCTTTCGGGCTTCGGACTTGCAGAAGCAAATCCCGTGACTAATGGCATTATCGCATTACGGCTGGTAATTCCCCTCAGCACTATGATGATCAAGCTGTGTCGTCTGCAGGCACTGTCATGATCAGTACCCGATCCACATCTTCCAGCCTTGGCACACATTCTGTTCATGAGATGTGCAACCTGCCGAACTCGGCGCCTTCAATATCAACAATGCTCTGTCAAACACTTCTTACTCATAGCATCTAAAGTCCCACCAAGATGCGGTCTGAGGCGGGTCCTCCCACGGCAGGCAAAATACCAACACATCACGGTGCTCAAGGCGCTTGCCAAGATCTTCGTGCATCACACAAGATGAGCACTCCCAGCAACAACGTTGTGGGGTCGGCTGGGGTTCTACAAGCACGACATAGCCTCCTACAGTAGGAACACTTCGCAGGGCGTGCCCGTATTTCTGCCAATGCCAATTCAACAGACTGTGTCTGTGATCCCGAACAATACGGTGGCCAAACACACGGCACTAGAGTGACGGACAATGACTGTGACGGACAATGACAGATACCCGCGTACAGAAGCCATTGAAGTGCAGCGAACTGTTTCACCGCAAATATCATAGCGGAGTACGACGCAATGTACACCACGGGGGGTTCTACACTTTGCTTCTACCTTTTGCTGTTGCTTGCTTGTTGTTGTCTGTTCGTTTGTGCGTTTCCGCTTTTCTGCTTCTCTGGTGGCTTTTCTGTTCCTCCACGTTTTTGCTTTTCCGATGTTCTTTCTGCCCTCGTGTTTAAGACATCTGATGAATGGGCATCGCCACGAGAGAGGGCGAGTTGTTAATTTAATCAGCCACATGAGGGGTCCTGTTTGGGTTTGGGATGAACCAGGACCGCCGTAGGAATGGAGTGTTCAAGATACGAGATCAACCTGGATCGACAAATGAGGGGGCGTCTTTGTTTCAGATATGTGATGAACCGGGATCGCCCAATGAGGTGCCGAACTTAAGGTGCCGAGGCACCTAATAGAGGGCGTGTTCAAGATATGCGATGACACGGGATCGCTAAGGCATGGGACGAGTTTCTTCTAGACACCTCGGCCGACAAAGGAGGAGTGTACTGAAGATCTGTGATGAATCGGGATCGCCACATGAGGGGGCGTGTTGAAGACATGTGATGAAGCTGGATCGGCACGTGACGGAGTGGAGTCGCCAAATGAGGTGGCGTAGTCAAGATATGTGATGAATGTTTAATTAAGTGCAAGATAAGTGCGTTGAAGGAATGTGATCCGAATGATGGGTCGTGTTCAGGAAAGGGCGGGTTTAGGAAATATGATCAACCGGGATCCCGTTATGAGGGGATGTGTTGAAAATGCGTGATCAACTTGGATCGCCAAACGAAGGGATGTGATCAACCTGGATCGACAAATGAGGGTCGTTCTTAAGATATGTCGTCAACTGGATCGCCAAATGAGGTGGCGTGTTTCCGATATGTGATCAACCTGGATGCCAAGTGAGGAGGCATGTTCAAGATATGCGATCAACCTGGATCGCCCAAACAGGACGGGGTGTATTGAAGATGTGTGATGAATCGGATCGCCACATGAGGGGGCGTGTTGAAGACATGCGATGAAGCTGGATCGGCACGTGATGGAGTGGGTTTCAGACATGTGATCAACGGGAGTCGCCAAATGAGGGGCGTAGTTAAGATATGTGATGAATGCTTAAGTGCAAGATAAGTGCGTTTTTAAGGAATGTGATCCGAAGGATGGGTCGTGTTCAGGACAGGGCGGGTTTGGGAAATGTGCTCAACCGGGATCGCGTTGTGAGGGGATGTGTCGAAAATATATGATCAACCTGGCTCGCCAAACGGATTGATGTGATCAACCTTGATCGACAAATGAGGGTCATTCTTAGGATATGTCGTCAACCTGGCTCTCCAAATGAGGGGGCGTGTTTCCGATCTGTGATCAACCTGGATGCCAAATGAAGGGGCATGTTCAAGGTTTGCGATCAACCTGGATCGGCGTGTTCAAGATGTGTGATCAACCCGGATCCAAATGAGGGAGCGTGTGGTGTGTAGGATATGTGATTAACCTGGATCGGCAAGTGACGGGGCGAGTTTAAAATATGGGGCTCGCCAAAGCACGGGGCGAATTTAAACTATCTGAGCACCTAGCGAACCCTAGTTACGCGTTGGACCCTCCGGCTCCGTGCCGTGAAATGTGAACACATTCGCTTCTTCGTTAAACTCCATCCCAGACCCTCCGGTTTCAACCCGTGAAGTGCGAACACGATGGTTCTTGCGTACCCTGTGTGGTCCTGCGCGGCCCTTATGACAAGCGTTTTGCCGTTCGCGCCTTCTGCATTTTAGCATGTGCACCTGAAACCCGGTGGCCAACATTGAAAGGACGACCCCAAATATATCGTTTCCCCCAAGTACAAGTGCGATTCAAGGTTTTCCACGAGCAAGGGTGGCCTTGGCTTTTTGTTATGAGTCACGGCTTCAGCAGATAGAACCGTCTGCAAATGACGAGAAGTATGCACCGCACCACAGCGGAAGACACGCAGCGAGCATCCTGGGGCGTACATAGTGGGACGTGGGACCAGATTTGCACCATGTGCTGTAAATAAGCGGATGTGGGGAGTTGGGCGATCCAGGTTGATCACGTATTTTATACACGCCCTTGTTTTTGGTGACGGCGCCTGTACGCGCATGCGGTTTTGCAGGTTTCAGGGTATTGGGGTGGGGGGTGGGGGGGGCTGGGGAGGGCAGGGGGGGGTGGGGAGGGGGGGGAGGTTAAGAACGTCATTCATATTGCGCCCATGTCCAAAACACAAGTATTTGCAGCGTTTTCGCCTCCTTGAACAACCAAACATAAACCCAATCCTTAACCTTAAGTCTAACCTAAGACCTAAGAAAAGGCAATACGTTAAACAAACTCTCTCTAAAATAACGTTTTGTTTTGCGCTTAAACCCCGAGCGAAAACGCAGTTTGGCCCAAAGTTTACTTCAGCCTCTAGTGTTTCGCGCACCTGCCTGAACCATGATTTTATGTGAGATTGCGCTCTCGCTGTGGTTTCGCGCGCATCCATGGAAAACGCCTCATTCTGAAATCGCCAAAAACGCATAGGCGCGTACAGGCGCCGAAACCTTGTTTTTGGCGATCCCCATTCATCACACAACATCACACAACCTAAACAGGGGTAGTTAGGAATGAAGCATGTGTCACGCCGACCTGTACCCATTGAACCTCGCCTGGCTTGTCCGAGATGTGCCCTCATTTCGCGATCCCGGTTGATCACATGTTAACTTTCGCGAACTGGTGCCTGTTGAGGGAAAAGAAGTGTGCGCAAGCACTGTTTGCAATGTCGGCGCACAGAAGTGTGAAACGACCTCTGTCGGGCGATTCAAAGTCAGAAAAGCACTGAACAATGGAATAATCCCAAACCCTAAACCAGAAAAATAAACTCTAGACCCGTCATCCCTCAGGCCCCGACGGCCCCAACCCTAAACCCTGACTTAAGCCTTAAACCCTAAACCCTCAGCGCCAAACATACACACGAATGCTGCTTGGGTTTTCTACCCCAGCGTTCCCAACTCTGCACAAGAGCTGACGGTTCCCAGCACTGCAGAAGTGCCAGGCTAAACCCGTCATTCTCCAGGCCCCAACCCTGAGCCCTGAAGCCCCAACCCTGAACCCTGAATGAAGCCTCCATACCCTTAAGCCGTAAATCCTAAAGCCTCAGTGCCAAACATACAGACAAATACTGTTTGGAATTTCTGGATTGATAATCCAAGGGCTTTAAGAGTTTAGGGTTTAGGATTGCCGTCCTGGGCCGGTTTAGGCTTTCTTTTTGCTTTCCCGCACTCCGTATGTCATCTCGGGCGGGGTGGCATCCAACCTGGCAGTCCTGGGGATCACTTCCAACCAAAGCTCTGCACAATGCTGCGTTTCATCACTCATTCCACAGTTTGGTCACTCTGGTGAGGCGAGTGTCCATCCGACAGCTTGCCATCTTTGTTTCTCACGGCATAGCTGGCGAACGACCGCGAAATCAACCGAAAGCGAGAGAAAGACTATGTGCTCCCATTGCATAGCAGCAGCTTCTTGGTTTCTAGCCCCAGAATGACAGCATGATGGGCACTCGGCAACCCTGAGGCCTAAGATCTTGAAAGCCTACGTAGCCTAAGCGCACCCCCTTAAACCCTAAATGAGTGACAGCTGCAGTTTGCAACATTCAACACCCTGCGCATTGCCAAAGCAAGAAAGGCAGGTGTCAAGTGTCAAGTCAATCCTCAAGGCCAGCTGATTCAAGCTGACCTGCACCCTGGTGGCAGCCCAAAGCGCACAAGAAACGGCACGGGTCTTGACTCTCGTCATCTGGCGCAGGGAGTAGGACCGAGGGATTAAGAGAGTTTACTGTTTACAGCTTGGTCAAGACGGCACGAAATACCGTACAAGTTCAAGCTCCAAACTCCAAATGGTCCAAATTCGCATGTCTGGTGGAGGTATGTGGGTGGCATGCAAGTCATAAAGGTACTGAAATGAGCTGCGCTGCAGCTGCCGCCGACTGGCAAGTACCCCGGAAACGGAAAAGCAAGACTTGCGTCTGCATCAATGCTGTGAGATTTGATTGGCCCGGGCAGCTCTTCATCTTCAGCTGCTCGCTTGCGGCCACTGCTCTTGGGATTCTTGGGAACCTTGGGTTCCTTTGCATTCGCAGACTTTGCAGCCCTGTTTTTCTTCGGCGAAGCCTTCCCCTTTGCCTTTGTCTTTTGTTTTTGATGCTTTGTTTTCTTCTTTTGCCTGATTTTTTGTCCGGAGATGTCGCCATTG